CCCCCCCCCCCCCCCCCCCAAAAAAAAAAAAACACACGCACACACGCACGCAACAACCCCCCAAAACAACCCTCTTTTTTTTTTTTTTTCTCTCTTCTCGAGGACTTCGCATAAAAGAAAAGTCAACTCTTTAAGATCAGGAGGAGCGGTGGACTTCAACCCGCACTGAAGCGGCCCTCCCGCTTCTTACTTTTCTGATTTATTGGGAGTGCCTGCGTCACCCTAATGGAGCTTTGAATGGGCCTAAGATTTGTAGCTGAAGATTACTTAGTGCGCACGTTGGTCAAAGTCAACAGCTGGACAGATAGTGACAGAAGAAGCATCGTGTTACGTGGGAATCCAATAACATTTCTTTCTGGGTTTGCCGTGCCGAATAGGAAATGATCCTATTAAGGGCAATTTGGTAAACCAAGGTTCAGTTAGTATAATTCTTTTATCTGGCTCCTTTGACGTTGATTTGTCAACAACGGAGGTGCTGTTATCANACGTTCAGTTAGTATAGGAGTTCTTTTATCTGGCTCCTTTGACGTTGATTTGTCAACAACGGAGGTGCTGTTATCAAAATTGAGGGCGGGCGAATGGACCCGCTTCATCATGCTTACCCATCCTCCAACAAAATGTTGCCTATATTTACTTCTCTCTATTGTTGGCCGAATTTCTAATTGAATAAATTGATATTAAATTCTCATTCCGTATTAGGATTTATCGCTAATTTAATGGTCAATTTGATAAGGTGAGTAAAAAACAATAGAAAGACATAAAGTAAACTTGATATGCTTTCTATCCTTTAAAGAATGAATTATTCATTTTATCCTTNAAAGGCTCTATTTACTTGTTTCTAATTGAATAAATTGATATTAAATTCTCATTCCGTATTAGGATTTATCGCTAATTTAATGGTCAATTTGATAAGGTGAGTAAAAAACAATAGAAAGACATAAAGTAAACTTGATATGTTTTCTATCCTTTAAAGAATGAATTATTCATTTTATCCTTTGTGTTTGGTAAGCAGGATAAAAAATAAGAAGAATTAAATTTTTTTTTTTGTGTATGGTATGATAAAAAAATATTTTTTTTATTTTTTATTAAAAAATATAAATATATATTTTATCATTATATCTATATATAAAATTAATGTATGCATAATATCTAAATGATAAATATGATATATGTATATATCAAAAGATATATAGACAAATAACATATATTTCAATACACATAATTAATTATTCTTCCATTTTTCTCCCAATTTTGAAGGGATCCANTTATTTTTTATTAAAAAATATAAGTATATGTTTTATCATTATATCTATATATAAAATTAATGTATGCATAATATCTAAATGATAAATATGATATATGTATATATCAAAAGATATATAGACAAATAACATATATTTCAATACACATAATTAATTATTCTTCCATTTTTCTCCCAATTTTGAAGGGATCCATTTCGGTGAGTTGGAAAAAAAGTTCATCCATCCATTTTTTCATAATTTCTATTTTTCTTTCTTACAAAACATGATATTTTACCTATTTCTCCAACTTTCTATTTTTACAACTTTTTGTCACACCAAACAATGTATAAGGGTCACANGGAGGGATCCATTTCGGTGAATTGGAAAGAAAGTTCATCCATCTATTTTTTCATAATTTCTATTTTTCTTCCTTACCAAACATGATATTTTACCTATTTTTCCAACTTTCTATTTTTACAACTTTTTGTCACACCAAACAATGTATAAGGGTCACAATATATTATATTTTAAAATTAAATCTTAATAAATTGCTCTTACACACGTTTCTCAAAGCACTAGTTTAAAAAAGAAGAATTACTTGAAAAATAACAAATCAAATTCCAGATTTCATCATAAAGTTGAGAACCAGTGTTTTACTATACTCAATATAACGCTCAAAAATGCACCCAGTAAAATATTATTATTTAGAAACCATCAAATTATAAGACTAACTAACAATAAGTATTAAATAATATAACATAAATCTATTTGACAAAGAATAAATACTAAAGTCAATAAAATATTATAACTTCTCAAACTTAAAATTCAAAACTAAATAATATCTAACAGCAGAACAATTAAAAGTAGCTGAAATATTATTTCATTGAAATCTCTCAAATAAAATAATCTAANCTATTTGACAAAGAATAAATACTAAAGTCAATAAAATTTTATAACTTCTCAAACTTAAAATTCAAAACTAAATAATATCTAACAGCGGAACAATTAAAAGTAGCTGAAATATTATTTCATTGAAATCTCTCAAATAAAATAATCTAAACTAAAAATAAGTATCTCTATACCTCCACTTCAGGATCCTTAGACCGACTCTCTCCAATCTCGAGGCCGATCTTCTCATCTAATTCAACATCTTCCTATTTGCCAAAATCTGTAAATGTGTTGTAGGGGAGTGAGCAAACATTCGTAAGAAATCCCTCTCAAATCAAAATAAGATTTTACAACAATAAAAAGAAGGTAAGTCTCCTTTTGAAAAATAACATATATAAAATTTTGAGAGTAAAACCATGCTAGTTGTAATGATCTCAAATGTACAAAATACAGTAAATCAATAATAGGAATAAACTTGAAAGAAATTAAAGCAATCAGTAAATAATTCAGTAGCATCATCTCATATTCTCATGTATGTTGGTTGCTTCTCAGAAATTTACACAACGATTCTACATCGTTCACACACTACAATCACACAATCTTAATCGTTTCTCGTAGGGTCAAATCACAAACAACTTTAGCAAGGGCGTATACCGTCTCACATGACATTGACGATTCCTTCCCAAAAAAGGTATGCCATCCCTCAGCCTTGAACTTACGTGAACAAAAGTGGTTTCTCTCACAAACAACAATTCACTATAAATGTTAGACAACCATCTCACCTCCACTTGAATATGCTAACTTATAATACTCTACGACAACTCTCGAAGGCAATTCAAGTTCGTCACACCCAAACCATACAGAAGATGAAACCATAATTTTCTCAAAAACCACAATCTTAACCAATCACATTTTTCATAAAAACTCAAGTATCATAATTTCACAATTCTAAATATACTATAGTAATAAAGGAATTAAAATATGCAAGAGATCATATTAAGAAAATTTTTACAATTTTGATATCAAAATTCTAGGGTTTTGCCAAGAATCATAATTTCTTGGAACAAGAACAAGTACTTAATTTAAAACCTAATTTAATTAATAATAGGAATTTTAGAATTCAAAAATTAATAAATCTTTCACTTAAAACATGTGTTTTGGAAAAAACTATGATTTTGAAAATTCAAGAACAATGTTTTTTGAACGCAAGACATGTATCTAGTTGAAACCCATAGGTTACTCGAAAAGAAATCAAGAATTCTTGTATTTTTCACAGTCAAACTGTATCTAACAAAACTAGGGTTTTGGAAATCAAGAACAAGTATTTCTTAAACCCAAACATCTATTTTGTTCAAAACTACGTTTCAATAATAAAGAAACTAAGAACTCAAAAGTATTTATTATATAACTATCAAGAAGATTGAAAACATACAAATATAATACCCTAACTCTCAATGAAAGAACTCAAGATTAATCCTCTATCTTGATTCTGTAGTTTGTATGTAAACTTAGCGTGTTTGATCCATTCCAACATGAGAGTCCCTCTTCAATCTTGTGTTTCTCTTTTTTTCTCTTGTTTTCTAAGGTTCGCTAGGGTTAAGAACTGATGAAATAGGACTAGGGGAGACGTCTTTAGGTATTTATAGGATGAGAAAATAGTCTAGTCGGTGTAGACCTGATATTCAAAATCACGACAGTACGTTCGAACTATTTATAGGGCGTTCGAATGGATTCATTCGTGTTTGAACAAGCTCCAGTTTTCTTGAACTTCCAAGGAAGTTTTGGCCGACTCCAGTTTTTACCTGAACTTCCAAGGAAGTTTTGACTTAGGTAGAAGTCGATTCACATAATTTTCGTGAAATACACTTTTATACCCCTTGAAGTCTAGTTTCAATTGTAAAAAATTCAGGTCAATCAAACATTAGGGTAAAAGTTATAATCTAAATACTAAGGTTATGTCAAATTCCTTTTTACCCAAATCCTCTCCAAAATAGGTTTTAAATCTAGAATACTTCTAAACTTCTAATACAACTCATATAATCTCTTCCAATAATTTTTGACCTTCCGGATTCAATAAAAACCTTATTTTAATCAAAAAATATTTATAAAATTACTTAACTACCTTTCTCAAACTCAAACTTTATAATCAATTTTTCAACAATGATTCTAAGTTTCTTCCATCGTTTTATTCATCTTAGAAGAACTCTTAAGATAATATTATCCTTCTTTAGTTTTAATACGGGGTCTTACACTCAATGTTGCTCAAATAACATCTCTTCATAGGACAAAAATGTTTCAACTTGTAAATTTTTTTCACTTTGGAGACGTGAATATTTTGTGCACCAGGATGGTAGCTTTGAATACGCAGGATTCATAGTTAGTATTGGTCCTTTTGATTTTCAAATAAAGACATTCTTCTCCCTCTAATGGTGATAATCCCCTTGAGCCACCTGCTTATCAATGGTGAAGAATGTCATCCTCCCTAACTCGATTCTCAATCCATCCCTAGCATTTAGCCTCACTATAGTTCATTATAATTCCTCTTAAATCCAAAATCAATCTCTACACTTCTTGCCCGTACGTAGAAAATTTCATCTTCTTCCTTGTCCTTTCTAATGATACCAAGAATAATACTGAAANATTTCTTGCTCGTACGCAGAAAATTTCATCTTCTTCCTTGTCCTTTCTAATGATACCAAGAATAATACTGAAAATAAGTAGAATTATATCTCCATATCTCTTCTGCAGCAAGGCTAAAATAACCAGG